TTCAATTGTAATATAGTAGGGTAAGAAAAAGTTGTGATGTATCTTATTGAGAAACTACAGTCGAAGGAAAAGTTTTCTTTCTATTCCTTGTTCCAGCAAACAATTGTTGGGAATTTATATACAGAACAGAGTTCGGCTCACCACTAGGAATGTAATTATAGTCTCCTAAAAGAACAATGAAAAACAAAACCAAGAACAACTATACAAGAGATAAGGATAAGGATTACAGAGGATAAGGCAGTTCTAAGATAAGGCTCGCTTGCTTGCTTAATACCCCCCCCCCTCAAGTTGGAGCATGTAAATGGGAAATGCCCAACTTGGCAAGAAGATGTTCGAATTGTTGCCTACCCAGGGCCTTTGTAAACATATCGGCAAGTTGCTCTGAAGTCCGGACGTAAGAAGGCCGTATATTCCCATTCTGGATTTCACTGCGGACAAAGTGACAGTCTACTTCAATGTGTTTAGTCCTCTCATGGAAGACCGGATTCGCAGCGATATGCAAGGCTGCTTGACTATCACAGTATAACCGCATAGGGTCAGGATGATCAACTCCTAATGAAAGCAACAACCCTTTTAACCATTTCAACTCACATGCAGCTGTTGCCATAGACCTGTATTCCGCCTCAGCTGATGATCTGGACACTGTAAGTTGCTTCTTCGTCTTCCACGATATAAGTGCTCGGCCCAATAAAACAAAGTATCCTATGAGAGAGCGTCATGTCAGTGGACACCCGGCCTAGTCAGAGTCACAGTAGGCATACAATTGAAGATCACTGTCAGCTGGAAGGAAAATTCCCTGTCCCGGGTCACCTTTCAAATATTGCACCACACGCAAAGCCGCCACCTAGTGTTCTTCACAAGGGTTCTACATAAATTGAGCGAGCACATGCACACAATAGGACAATTCAGGATGGGTAATGGTCAAGTAAATTAAATGACCCACTAGCATCTTGAACCTCTCTGGCTTTATCATCAGAGGACCATCTGCCAGAGCTAGTTTATGATTTTGTTATAGGGGAAGTCCAGCTGGCTTAGCGCCTAACAAACCAGTTTCTGATATGATATCCAATGCGTATTTCCGCTGACAAAGAAAAATACCTTTCGGGTTTCTGGCGACCTCCACTCCTAAAAAATATTTCAAAGTTCCCAAGTCCTTCATGTGGAGGCATTGGTTGAGATACTTCTTGAATCTCCAAATGGCATTGCCGTTATTTCCAGAGATGACAAGATCGTCTACGTAAACCAAAATATTTAACTGTTCATGCTTCCGTCAAAGCGTAAACAATGAGTAATCAGATTGTGACTGGGTAAAGCCATATTGTTTCAAGGCTGTTGTGAGTTTAGCAAACCAACAACGAGGGGCCTGTTTCAAACCATAAAGCGACTAATGCAACTTGCACACCTTTCCAGGTAGTCTTGAAGCAAATCCAGGAGGCATCTTCATATACACTTCTTCTTGCAGATCTCCATGGAGAAATGCGTTCTGCACATCCATCTGATGTAGTTCCCAGTTTCTAGCCGCAACAACTGCAAGGAATGTCCGGACTGTAACCATCTTTGCCACAGGTGCAAACGTTTCATTGTAGTCAATCCCTTCAACCTGTTTGTTTCCGAAGATCACCAAACGCGCCTTGTACCGTTCTATTGTGCCATCTGAGTTGTACTTTATCTTGTAGACCCATTTACTTCCAAGAGCCTTCTTCCCTGGCGGCAAGTTCTCCACTGTCCAGGTTCTATTATTTTCTAAAGCTTCAATTTCCTTTTTCATTGTTTCTCTCCAACGAGAGTCCTTGACAGCCTCTAAATAACTCTAGGGCTCATGACTAGTTGTGATAGCTGCTAAGAAAGAGCAGTGTCGCAAAGAAAATTTACCACAATTCACATACTGTGTTATAGGATAAGGAGTACTTGAGGAGTGAGATTGGCGAGGTGAACTGGCAGAGGGCCTCAGACTGTGGTTGGAACACCATGTAGTGTGTATGATGTAGTTCTTGAGACGACTGGAAGGATGCTTCACTCTATGGCCTCATCCAAGTTGCTCATTCCCTGCATTCGTTTCTTCCACAGAACCCCCCTTACATCATTCTCCCCTTCATTATTTTCACACCTGTCACTTTGTTCTCCCTCTCTTATGACCTCACGAGTACTATCTCTTTTACTTTCACTATCTTCCTCGTCATACACTTCAGTCTCTACCTGGTTATAATCAAGATTACCATCATTGTGTCCGTGTTCGACTTGTTTTTCTTCAATAGCATAGGGAAACTCAGTTTCTGAAAACACCACATCCCTGGAAACAAAATATTCATTGTTTTCTAAGTCATAAACTCTCCACCCCTTCTTGCCAAAGGGGTACAACGCCTGGCTCTACTGGCAAACTTATCCCTGGTACGATTTAGGCTTCGTGCATAACACAAACACCCAAACGTTTGTATATGTTTGTAGCTTGGTTTCTGCCCATACAACATCTCATACGATGTTTTTCCCAAAAGGAGAGTGGAGGGGGTCTTGTTGATCAGATAACTAGCCATCATAACACACTCTCCCCAAAACTCAATAGGGAGATTAGCCTGAAATCTAAGGGCTCTGGCAACATTCAGTATATGTCTATGTTTTCTCTCGACACGTCCATTCTGTTGCAGTGTTTCAACACATGAGGTCTGATGTATTATACCTTGCTTAGAAAAATATTCCTTCAAGCAAGTAAATTCAGTACCATTATCGCTTCTAACTATCTTCACCAATTTTTCATATTGGCGTTTAACCATAATGAAGAAGTTCCGCAGCGTTTTGCCCACTTCACTTTTGTCATTAAGTAAGAAAATCCAAACATCTCGCAAGAAATCATCAACAATAGTCAAAAAATACGAGGCACCACAAGACGCCCGAACAGAGTACGAACCCCATAAATCACAATGAATCAAATCGAAAATCCCTTTAGCATTATTTTCACTAGAATCAAACGTACCTCTTGTCTGTTTGGCTTTTGAACAAACACCACCAATCCTATTTCCACCACCACATCTAATGTTCACATCAGAAAGTAGTTTAATTACTTTCTCGGAGGGATGACCCATTCTCTTGTGCCATAACTCGTATGAAGCTTCAACTTYTGCTTTATGAACTTTGCTTGAGTACGCACCTTTGAAGCAGTAGAGCCCTCCGCGTAGTTCACCCGCACCAATCACCATCCTCGAAGTGTGGTCCTGTATAACACAACTTATTAGTGAATTGGATATTACAATTCGATTCCTCTAATAATTGTGACACAGATATCAGGTTACAATTCAACCGAGGAACATAAAGCACATTAGTAAGCTTCATGTGTTTATTTAAAATGACGGTCCCTTTCTTTATTGCCATGACGTGCTTTCTATCAGGCAATCCAACCTGACAATCAGTCACGGTCTCGGTATCATGCAAGTGATTCAAGTTCCTGGTCATATGGTGTGAGACTCCTGTATCAATTATCCAATTCATACCTGTCACCTTTTCACTTGTGCTGGGTTTGCAAGAATTCAAGAGATTAAGAAAAGTGGACCACTGTTCATTAGTCAATCCACCGAATGTTGTACGATCTCCTTCTGTCGCGTGGATTGGTTCAGATGTTTGCCCTACCGCTTGCGCAGCATTTGCTCTCTGTACTCCTCCACGTCCACGACCGCCATCACCACTCCTATCGATAATTCTGACATGATCGTTTCTTCTTCCTGTGACAAGTCCGTCCTTGTCTAGCATCTTACCAAAGAAGAGGGAACATATGGTGTCCCCCGCCACCGTCTCACCGGTCATTCTCACTTCGCGGAGGATGTCATGCTCTTCTCCGACGGTCAGTTCGCTCTCTCCGACTCTTGGGATAGCGAGCTCCGTCTCTGGGACCTTAATACCGGCATTACCACTCGCCGCTTCATTGGTCACACCAAGGATGTCCTCTCCGTTGCCTTCTCTATCGACTACTGCCAGATCGTCTCTGCTTCTCGAGACCGCACTATCAAGCTTTGGAATACACTTGGAGAATGCAAGAGCCACACCAACTGGGTGAGCTGCGTCAGGTTCAGCCCCAATACATTCCAACCCACTATTGTCTCTGGATCTTGGGATCGGGTCGTGAAGGTTTGGAACCTTACCAATTACAAATTGCGCTGCACGTTGACCGGTCACGGAGGTTACGTGAAACACTGTTGCAGTTTCGCCCGATGGCTCTCTTTGTGCCAGTGGTGGCAAAGACGGTCGAACTCTGCTTTGGGACTTGGCAGAAGGAAAGAGGCTCTACTCGCTTGATGCAGGGGCTATTATTTAGGCTCTGATACCATGAGAAACTACAGTCGAAGGAAAAGTTTTCTTTCTATTCCTTGTTCCAGCAAACGATTGCTGGAAATTTATATATAGAGCAGAGTTCGGCTCACCACTAGGAATGTAATTACAGTCTCCTAAAAGAACAATGAAAAACAAAACCAAGAACAACTATACATGAGATAAGGATAAGGATTACAGAGGATAAGGCGATTCTAGGATAAGGCTCGCTTGCTTGCTTAATACTTATCAATAACAAATTCTGAAATAATCATGAACCGAACTCAACCACGAGATAAATGCATGGATGACATATTGAGTTGTGGACAGTGCTGGTCCACGATATATTATGCACCAATCCCATCCACACCATACACATTGCTTGGTCACCATCCACCAGATGACCATTGTTTTGAACATCACCAATCTACCCATTTTTGTCTGCAATGCAGAACAACTCCTATGTTGTGTGGCATGATGGTGTGGACTCATGCGGTGTGGATGAAAACACATCACCCAGTTTCTAATCAACACTACAAAATACCCCCAAGTCTCTATTAGGAATAAAAATGGCGGTGGCTATTTTGTAGAATAACAAACTTAAAAACTTAGTGATTCTTTTCTTGAGCTAAACTCTCTTTGTCTGTTATTTTTAATTTAAGAAATAAAATAAATAAACCACAAACATGAGAAGAGAGAGAGGGATCCATGTAAACATTGAGTTTATTTTGCCTCTTTGAATTGAGTACAGCCCTAGAATAAAAACTGAGTTTATTTTGTCATCATGACTCATCAGTTTGTAAAATGAGGGGAAGCCTCAGAAAACAAGCACAAAAAGATCACAAGAAGATAAATTCAGAATTAACGGTGGTGTGTATAAGATATGATGCTTAGGATGGAGACATGGTGATTTTAACAAAATCAAGAGACTTCTTGCCTTCATGACCCTTCCCAAAGAAATTTTTCATGTATTCTTCAAACAGAAACTCTCCGTAGTGAGCCACCCCATCCTTCTCTACCACTTGAGGTAGCGGCTTGATCTTCTTCGTTGGCAGGGGGAACACAAATACTGGGATTGACACTCGTGATTCTGCGTTTGTAGTCCACACTCGATGTTCTGCACTCTTGTATCTTCCATTGCTTAAGATCTAAAAGAAGATCAAAGACAACCATGTTAATTAATTAAGAATTTAATAAAAACAGAGAGAGAGATAGAGAGAGAGAGATTTACCTCTAAGGTATCCCCAACGTTGACGACCAGTGCTCCCGGGGTGGGTGGAATTTCTACCCATTCTCCCTTCTTTCTACCAAGTCTATCATCTTCCACCTTCACATACAGACCACCAATCCCATCTTGCAGCAATACAGTAAGGATGCCCATGTCGGAGTGGCGCCCAACTCCAACTGTGAGCTCAGATTTGGACACTAAATTCATATTGACCATCCTTGTGCCAATATATGCCTCAGTCTCTGTATGGTCTACTGTCACTCCAAGCCTTCTAAGCAATACTTCCAGTATCCTTTTCACCATCTTGGTTGATGACTTGAGGTACTCAAGTGCAACTTCCCTGCAGATATAGAGATCGATTTCATGACGATGAGAATGATAAATCACTAACAAATGAAAGGGTAAAATATAGAGATCGACCATGTTTTTGGGGGTTTAGTGACAATTAGGTCCCCAAAATAAAGAACTACCTGTACTCTCAAATTTCAGCACTCTAATATCATTCAATCAGTTTTGAACTTTTACGAAACCAATGTGCCCTCTTTTTTCTTGCATCTCTCAAACCCAACCTTTCAACTTTTCCTATATTCTTCTTTTTTTCCTTTTTTTTGTCTTTCTTGTTATTTGCTCATTTGCTTTGACACATTCTCTCATAGATCAGTACTTAGGCTTGAGGAATTTGAAGAGGGATAATAGCATATAAGGGCAATTTTGGGGTTTAATACTAATAAAAGTAATATTTAAAAAAAATAAAAAATAGGTTAAATTTTTAAAAATAATATCAATAAAGGACAAAACACTGTTCATTATCTTCTTCTTACCATTTGTTCACCAGCGACAAAGGTGGCCGCGGCGGTGCTGGGCAGAGGAATGACCACCAGCGCTGCCTTCATTACCTCTGCCTCTAGCCACCCCCGGCAACATTGCCTGAGGCGGAGGTGGAAATGGGCAGAGGCGGCGGCGGATGGCGGCATTGGTGAACAAATGGGAAGAAGATGATGAACAGTATTTTTGTCATTTATTGATATTATTTTTAAAATGTTAACCTATTTTTTTGAATTTTTAAAAATATTATTTTTATTGATATTAAACCCCAAAAGTTGCCCTTATCCCCATTCGAAAATACAGGATAGCTCCTGTTAGGTCGTTACAAATGAATGAAAGCTCCAGGACCTAATTTCACTATTCCCATAATACAGAATAGTTATCTGTGTTTTATCATATTGACGAGGCAAGATAATTAAGCTTACTTGCATTCCTCAGGCCAGAAGTTCAGAGCATCTTCATCGCCGCTGTAAGTCATACTTATATAATCCTTCCACTCTAAAGCTTTCTCCGCCTCCGGTACAAAGCTGGTTCCATATTTCACGAACGGGCTTGGGCTTGCTCCTTTGAGATAAACAAAACAGCCTTCCTTTCAGGCGGCTGATTAAAGAACCGATGTGCTGCATCCTTGAGCTGCTCCAGCAATTCAACCTGCACACCATGGTTGATCACTTGGAAGAACCCAAGCGTCTCGGCAGACTGTCCAAGAAGTTCCACCACCTGATCATGGTTAGGCCCCTCGAGCTCGGACAGGTCAATGGGTGAAACTAGAGATGGTGGATATGATGGGTCTATGCCTTGTTTGACGATTCGTTCTTGTGGTGATTGGATGTATTGATCAGGTACCGTGGTTATGCCGGAGTCCACCATGCCTTTCACTCCGTTGCCTTCTCGAACTACGAAGTTGAACAGTTCGTTTCCAATATTCTCGAAGCTCGGAGCCATTATCTGTACCACGAGAGTGTATCAATTCCTTTGTCTGATTGATGCTAGCGGTGAAGGTTTCCTGCCAAGGGTACCAACTTTTATAGTGGCTTCTGCTCATCAGCTTGTTAGCCACTATATTATAGAATAAAAATAGAGAGATGACTTTTGACTTGGTTGTCTTGATGGGGGTATAAAATTAATTTTTGATAAAACCAGGAAAGCCCAATATAATATTATAGGGCAGAAACATGGAGAGAGAGAGAATTATAAAAATAAAAATTATATGTATAAAATTATTTTTTTAATTTTCGAACAAAAAATTAAGAATTATAAAAATCATTTAGTATTATACATAAAAGAATTATTTATTTTATTTTATATATAATAAAATTAGTTATTATATATATATATATATAATACAAATTATTCATTTAATACTAGATTCGCAAGTCCCACGAACTGTACTTCACTGGGCTCGAAGCCTGATTATTTTCTATTTATAAAGAAAAAATTCCAACCTGAACCCAGCCTGACCCGGCCCCTGAACAGATCCAAAGCAAACTCTGCCATTTTGTTATGCAGTTGTATGCATTTTCTACAATAATTTCTATCAATGTTCTGCTTTTATGCAAACCTAGATTGACATGGAAAATCTAATATTTCTTCTGGCGTAAATAATTCATGCATTGAGAAAACTTCGTGCAAATGCGTAATTCCATCCTAGCTAACAAAGCGGCACGAGGATGGAGAAAATCGCAAAGGAGGCGTGAGACTAACTGTTCTTTCCTTTCCATGCATGTATATGGTTGGTTGATTTTTCTCTTTCAATTTGAATTTCTCAGTCCAGAGATGACTATATGACTATATGCCGGTGTTTCATTGGCATATAGACATATTTAATTTATTTTATATGTGAATTTATTATTGATTGATAATTAATTAATTGATGGATCATCGATACGCAAAATATAAGGAACTTCAGGGTAAGACCTGTTTCAGGGAGTAACCAAACCTTTAACCGACCCCTGAACATATTTTGAACGTTGAGTATGGGTATATACGAATTTGATTTGAATCCGATAGATCTATAAACCTTTATTTTATATTCAAATTCAATTAGGTCAAATTTATCGAATATACTAAACAAAATGAAAGTGTAAAGAGGGTTTTAGAATCATATTCATTGAAATTTGTAGAAAGAAAATAACGCTCAAATAAAATAAGAAGAAAAAGAGAAAAATGAATGAGTAAAATCGAGGGAAGTCTGAAAGTTAAAATCTGATCGGCATTTGAGATTAGATTTGCTTCTATTTGAAAGAAGAAAATAAAAGTAGAATGATCTGCCGCTCTTTTCGCTTGCCGGTGTAACAAAGGAGAAAGAAGGGGAGAGTGAGAGAAAGAAGGAAAAGTACCTGACATTTGGGACCGGCAGTGCTGATAATCATTCGAGGCTCTATCAGTCTCTCTGTTGGAGTGATTTTTTTGTTTCTTTTCTTGTTTCTTTTTTTCTTTTTGCAGCTTTTTGACAAAGGGGTTACTTTCTCTTGGATCCAGTATTAGCTTTCGATACCAGTGGGTGTTGCTTTACGTTTTTGTCGCCCATGGTTAAGTCCGTTCGTGGTTCTCCGGCAGAAGCAATTCATGGTCAGTTCCATATGCAGTTCTCCAACGAATGCCATTTTGGAAAACAATTACAGTATCTGGTATCGGTTGTAATGTTTGGGGATCTGCCCTCTTCTACGGATCTACCCCAATCATGCTATTACAGGCTCTTTCCAATCTCTTTTGGGAACCTCTCCGGTCTTTTCTTCATCGTTTGTAAGTAGGTAATAGATTATAATAGGTACTAATTGAAAATTTATTAATAGAATGTATTCCAATTATACCCAACTTGTGGTTTTATTGGTTACTCAAATAAAAGGTCTATTGGGGTGTGCCTATTGTAATAAGGCTTTTTACTTTGATAGGAAAGTTTATTTATCTCTAGATCTTTTATAGATTCAATCTCTAATATTGATTCATCATTTGATTCTTCACTCCAAAAATTTATTGAATAGGAAATTGATGTTTTTTCTTCCTTCTCAATTTTGGAGGGTTTTGACGTTTCTCCTCTTTCCCAATTTGATGATATCAATTTGGCAGATAATTCCTTATAACTTACTTTTGATAAATCTAGTGGGGTTGTTTTGAGCCTCATATTTTCTAGGAAACTCGGTATTATTGCCGTGGGTTTTTCTTTTTTAATTATTGTTCTAGATTTAGAAATTTCTAACGAACTTAATAAAGATTCTATTCTATTGGTTTTTTTTACCTAAAACATTAGGGCATATATTTGTATAGTTATTTTGTTCTATGATTTGAGAACAATGTTCTAGGGAAACCTTTTCAGATTCTTTCATTGTCGTTGAATTTTTTATTGGATTTGCTATTAGCTCATATTTTCCTATTTTTACAGCTTCTAAAGGTGGATGGATTGATTCCACTATTTTCCCTATTGTTGACTTCCAAGCTTTAAACAGTTTCTTTGTGACACATTGTTCCAATTCTTACGATGGAGGCCTTATTTTCTTAAATTGTTTTTGTTTTGAAAACCAATCCCAAAATGGGATATTTTCTTTTAACTCTGTCATATCATCATACCATAATTCTCTGATATGATCTCTTTCTTTTTTAGAAAACTTTTCAAAAAACCATTTTTTAGAAAACTTTTTTGGAAATCTTCTTATATTTCCAACATATTGATTTCAAAATCTGGCTCTGTAGGTTCATAAGATTTTACTGACTAGCTTTCTCTCCAGGCTGTATGATTGTCCAAAGATGGGGTATCTACTATTGGTGTTTCATAAGTGGCATAGATAATGCCGAGAAGAGGACATATAGATTCTATTAAATCTACAAATATCCTAGAATAAGCGGATCTTAAGTCCATTGGTTTAGAGTAATAAGTCTGCGAAGATGTTGAGGCTCTTCTAAACCTTAGTTCTACAGATCCATCTTGCTCACTGAATATAGATGCTAGTTCAGTAAATTCGATGGGTTTAGGAGTCTCCGCTTTAATGATTGATCAATTATCCAGCAATTTTACTTCCTTCCAAGTGATTTGCCTAGGAATTGTAACATTATTCCTAGCATTGGTTTGGAACAGGGTAGTCATTCCCCTGGTTCCTGTTATCCTAGTATTAGGACAAATAGTACTCATGGTCTTAAAATAGACCCTATACACTAATGCTATATTCTCTGATCTTGGGAAAGCATTAAAGTAGATAGGCCCTTCATGGAGACTTCTTTCTATTACTGCTAATAAGGAGTCGTTGAATCTATTATGTCTAGAATCTGTCAAAAGGCTACAGCAGTTGTTTGTAATCCCAATCTTGTTTATATTTTTACGGCTACTTGTATTAGGCCAAAATGTATAAAATTACATTCAGATTTTTTCTTGTAAGTTTCTATTATTTTCATATCTATAAGAGAGAAGTTTAGGTCTATTTTTAAACTAAACATTCCTCTTTTATAGATTTCAGAAGGTGCAATTTTTGGGATGGTCCAATTGTATAGGGATTTCTCTATACTATCATAGTTTACTTCTTCTATATTTTTTATTGACAGCGATTTGGTTAAGGACGAGCTACTACCACTTTCTTCAAAGTTGTTGCTAGAGATAGAGGCGGTCCTAAATAACTTTTTCATCTCTTCCTTTTACTTCACCAAATACGGTCAGCCAACTTAAACGATTGTCAATCTTCGGCCTGCAACACGACTACGACCTTGGTTCAAGGGCTCTAGCCTTGGTAAAAATGGCAAGTGTCTAGTCTGTCCAACTAGGGTTCTAGCTTAGTGATATCTCTGAAGAAGTTACAGTCTTTGGGTTCTAGCCAAAGGTTCTAGAACTCTTTCTAGTTGACAAAGGTCTGAGTGGGGTATAAATAGGTTCAAGTTTTCACAAATTGTTGAAGAAGATGGAGGGTTTCGGATCAATGGCTCTGATACCAAAATAGTGTAAAACAGTGAACAATGATATGGAGATGGTTCCGTCACTTACAAATTCTGCCAAAAACCAAAGGCCTCCACTATTAACACTCTAAAAGAGAGTTTAAAATGCAAAGTTAAGCTTAGTGCTGAATTACAAATAGAAATAAAAGAAAAACAACTGATTAAGCTACTAGAAGAACCTAAAACCCAATTAGAAATTGAAAATTTCCAAGCAAATAATAATAGTAATAATAATAATAATAATAATAATAATAATAAGAAGAAGAAGAAGAAGACGAAGAAGAAGAAGAATAGTAATAGTAATAGTAATACTAATAATAATAATAATAGTAACACTAATAATAATAATAATAATAATAATAATAATAAGGGTTCCACAACTAGAAATTTTCCAATTAGAAATTGAAGCTTTGTAGAATTAAAGTTATGGTTAAGGGTTCCACAACTCAAGTTGGGTTAGGTTGACCTCCACCAGACCTATCCCAACCAAACTTGCACCTCTTAATCATGATCCAATAGAGTATGTTAACTAAAACCTAGGGTTGTCAATGGGTTAGGTCCAACCCAACGAACTCGATGGACCCGAAATGATTAGGCCGATTTTGGTTCTAGGAACTAGAATTGACGGGTCGATTTCGGGTCCTGATATATGTCTCGATTATTATCGGTTCAGAATTGGTTCAACCCACTCTCAAACTAATTCATACTTGACCCAAGCTACATACATATAATATATATAATATTAAATAAATTATATATAATATACATATAATATTTAATATTTAATATATATTAAACATATTTATTTATTTATTATAATCGGGTCTATCAAGTTAGACCTGATTGTCTCGAGAACCAATCGGTTTAGTTCTAGGTCTAAAAATTATAGACCCTATCGGGTCCGGTTCAATTCTTTGTTCTCAATTTTTCATGTCGGGGCAGTTCTAGTTCTAGCCAGTCCCGTCCCAAACCTGACTCGTTGACAACCCTACCAAAACCGAAACCCGACCTAAACTTAACTTAGGTCGAAGAAGCGATCTTTCTAATCTAATTC